CCCACTCATGCTACTGAGAAGCCCACCATGACTGTTACGGCTCGTCCCACTCATGCTACTGAGAAGCCCACCATGACTGTTACGGCTCGTCCCACTCATGCTACTCAGAATCCCACCATGACTATTACGGCTCATCCCACTCAGAAGACCACCATGACTGTTACGGCTCATCCCACCACTCATGCTACTGAGAAGCCCACCATGACTGTTACGGCTCGTCCCACTCATGCTACTGAGAAGCCCACCGTGACGGCCCCTACCCGTGGGACTAGGATTCCGCATTGGAGTGATATGACTATTACTGTCAGCACCGGATCTGCCAGCAGCACACAGGCGGAGTGCGGCAGCACAGATGAGTGCGCCGGGACGACTAAGCCGGCGCACGAGTGCCGGTCCAGCGACTGCGACACTCCCTGCGGCCGCGGTGCCTGCGGCAATGAGGATCATGGTATTGATCTGGTCATCCACGACCAGCCGAAGAAGATCAGAATCGCTGTTGATAACTAAACCGCGAAGGTGCTCATAAAGTAGGCAGGATCTTAAGATTCGTCTGCCGACGGAAGGCACGCACGCATTAGCAGGCAACCAAATGAGGATAAGGCAGAGGTTCACATTTTTTGGCACAAGAAGGTATATACACGGGACGAGGTATTTTTTGAGTGCCTAGATAAACAGCGCGATGATGACGACGAGATGCTGGTGTGTCAGCATCTACAGGTATGAGTTTGTTATGAGGTGCTGATTACAGGGCTGGATGGGATAGACGTTTTGTGTGCCGTGAAGTGCGGGACACGGTGAGAAGAGGTTTGTAAAAGCATCAGGACGTCACGGCGACTGTACGGAATGCGTTCCCCTGCCATGGAGCCACCTGGAAAGGATTCCAGTGCAGCTCTTGGAAAGGATTTTATTGCAGCTTTTGGTCGAGAGTAATCTTTAGTGTTTCGTGTGCGTGCCAAGTTGCGTGGGTTGAGAGTTCCCTTCGTGATCGTAGCGGAGGTGGCACGAACAGATGATGTCTGGGGATTGGGTGGGAGGGTATGATCTGGCCTTTATCGCAATCCCTTTGAGTGCAGGTCTGGGTAAGCCGGGTGTAGGTCGTAACCAACTAGAAGGGTACCAACTCTCGGTGAAATCAAATCAAGGTAGGATTCACCCGCTCGAGACAGCTCAAGGTTATCGAGTGTGCATTTGTTTTGTCCTGGGTAAAAAAGGGTTAGCAGTGGGGGTTTTAGTAATGAGAAATTTAACTGATTTTACGGTGTTACTTGGAGTGGTTTCTGCAGGCAGTTGCATTGCGCCTAATGTGGTGGGGCTGAGCGGATGTTCAGTGTGTGGTGCATCCGAGTTGGATGGTAAGTCATGTGTGCGAGGCGAAGGTACCGGCAAGCGGTATTTAACTTGTTACGGGTCGGTAGCGCAGTGTTGTAATGACCCCGAGGTTTTGAATAACCTTACGCCGAAGAACTGCATTGCTGACTTCAATAGCTCGCGATGCGACAAGTATGTCACACGCAACAATATGTACTCGAACGCAGCGTGTCAAGATGACTGTCGAGTTCTTCTGGCGGGTGGTCACGACCCTGAAAAGGACGATGATCTCCAAGCCAAGTGTCAGTATGAGCATTTTGAAGTTGACAACAACAGCGTGGTTACCTCTGGTGTCTGCTTCAACAGCTGGGTGCACGGCTACAGCGAACCGGAGACTCTATCGGGCTACAAAGTGATCGAAGACGTCAACACGCCCGCCCTGTGCCAAGCAGAATGCCAAAACGACCCTGAGTGCGTCCGATTCTTGTGGTCCTTTGACTCCGTCAAAAGTAGTAAATTCGACCAGCCCAGAAGGTGCCACCTCAAGAACGCCACCCAGGTGGAGACGGCCTCTGCAATAGTCTACACGTCCATCGACAACCCCCGAAACTTCGATGAAGATTACTGCAACACTCAAATGAGCATCGAGTGCTGGACTAATCACTATGAGTGCGCACCCTGTCAAGACGGCAAGAAACACTGCATCTGGAAAAGCTCCAAGCACGTCGCCGGCTGGAAATATTGCCCGGATCATGACTCCTGCGCCGTACCTGCATTCGACTCCACGACTCCGGAACCTGAAGCAACTACATCCCAACTCACGACTGCTGCCACCACTACACCGAAACCGACCACTACACCGAAACCGACCACTACACCGAAACCCACTACCACTACACCGAAACCCACTACCACTACCACAACCCATAAGACCGTTACCAAACCTCGGAAGACCACTGCCATGACCCAACCGGCCGCTTCGCCCACTACCATCGCCACTACCATGGCCACTACCCTGGCCACTGACGACACCACTGCTAAGACCCCAAAGACCACCGCCAGAACCCAGCCGGCCACTTCCCGCAAAACTACTGCAGAATGCTCTACACAAGGAGACTGCGACACTCCTGCAACCACGGCGAATGAGTGCCACGACAGTATATCACCAGGGTGCAAACCAGATCATAAGGAGTGCGGACACGATGATGACTGCAATCGTAACTGCGGCCACGAGGGATGTGGCGAAGACCGTGGAATTGCGCTTGTAATTCACGATCAGCCCAAGAAGGTTAGGATTGCAATCGACAACTAATTTCAACCTCCGTCACGACCTGTGCATTCCAGTCCGGGGTTGTTACCTTGTGCGCAAGACAACCGGGATTTAATAATAATTAATAGGATTTAATAATAATTAATCGGATTTAATAATAATTAATCGGATTTAATAATAATTAATCGGATTTAATAATAATTAATCGGATTTAACAGACAAGGACAATTGACGACTGCACTTGTTGTGTGGCATGTCACATCTTCCTCAGCGGTCGCGGCTCCTTCAAGAGTAGGCCTCGGTTCAAAGAATGATTCAAGGTTCAAAGAATGATTCAAGCTTGACAATGATAGAACTGCTTTTTTGTTACTCTAACCCAGCTGTCGTAGAATCTGCTGTCAAATGTTGCTGGGTATCAATTCGTGTAGGGGTCTGAAACCTTGAGGATGTGTTGCGTGACCACGGATCGGTGAATGGGTAGAGCTCACGTAGCGATTCCGTTTTGTCTCGTGGAACACGTTTTTTGTTTGTGGAAAACGTCGTCGGGTAAGGGTGAAGCCTGTGACCAAGCAACACGCGTTTGCGTGCGCGCTATTGGCGCTGCCTCCAGTCGTGAAATCACGGCTGCGGGTGCCCGGCAACCATCAAGAACGTTGGTGCCAACGCCCTTGATGGTGAAGGGGCTGAGGGTTCACATGGCTTCAGGAAGTCACTTGTGATCCCGTGTGCCGCCAGCGATCGCTGGTGGTTCGAAATGTGATGTGGCGATAAAAGTCGTTCTCAGTACATCGAAGTGCCGGTTCCTGGTGTAAAATTATTATGCCTGGAGTCGACATTGGGCAGGACCTAGCCCTACCCCCCAGCTACAAACGCATTCCGGGAAGGACAGCCCAAGGCTACCATGCCCGCTGTTGCTCGAAGGTTGACGTGCAGTTAGTTTTTTACCCATCAATGGCTTGAACTGTCTTAAGCAATGCGCTCAAATACCTCAGCTAGGGGACACCGCTGTTGGGCTGTCGTTTATATATGTTGTGGAACCATTGGTTTTCTGCCGGTGACGGCTAACATCAGATATATACCTGCGGCGCTCTGAATTATGATGTTTGGAGACGTACACCGCGTGGACTAACAATAGCGTCAAGTCGGAATGATTATTGGTCTTAATGTATCTTGGAGATACATTAAGACTCCTGGAGAGTGCGGTGATTCGATTCGTTTAGTTGAGGTAGGTGTGGTGGGGCGTTGATGTGTTTGACTTTCAGCATGGAAGTCACGTAGTGGTGGAAGTCACCTTTGAACTCTGTTCCGCTGTCCGTGTATACTTCGAAGGGTATCCCCAACGCTCCTACTACACTTTCTGCAAACAGGTTGCGCGTTACCGCACCCGTCTTCGCCAACGTTACTCTAGCTACGAGTTGTGGGGCGAGTAGCGAGTTGTGTGGTCTATACACACTAAGATGTAGTATTCCTGCCTTTGGAATGCTCTAGGGCCCATATAATCCGTGTTTACTCTACTCATGAAGAAAGACTGCTCCCACGTGCCTTCGTGTGTGGGCGGGCGGCAGGTTACGCACGGGAAGATTGCGGGCACAGATGGCGCACTCTTGGACGAAGTGCTGTGCGAACTCCTTTGACCGTGGCCACCAAAACAGTTCGGACATATTCCTGTGGGTCTTAGTGACGCCTTGATGTCCGCCGCGCTCTCCCATATGGTACCAAGAAGTCAGCTTAGACCTGAGTCAAGTCAAAACGTACAACTTTTTGGTCTTACGGTGTTCGTAGAGGCCGTCTTCTCTTTTGAGGAGGTTTTGCAACTCATCTACGGGGATGTCGTCGTCCTTCACAAGGCACTCGTTGCATGACGGTAGCTGGCTGACCTCGGCGAAGTGGACTGCAAACGGTCGATTAGCGAAGTTCATAGCATCGAGGTCCCGATCGTCGTCCTGGAGCCTAGACAGGGCATCGGCGACGTTGTTGTTGTCTCCTGGGATGTAACTGAGCTTTAGGTCGTATTGCTGGAGGAATAGAGCCCATCGACCTACCTTGCCTGTGTCAGCCTTCGCCAGGAAAGTGAGATTGCGGTGGTCGGAAAGGATCAGGGTGGGTCTTAGCCATACGTAAGGGTGCCACTTGGTCACAAAGTATTCGACCGCCCACAACTCTCTTTCTCTCGCGTCCCAATTACGTTGAGCTTGGGTGAGCCTTTGCGACCGTACTTGATCACTTCCAGCCGCCTGCGTTCTTAGGTATCGTATCCATCCAGACAAGGTTACGATCCCAGAAAGCAAAGAGCACGATATACGAGAGCGTCTACGCAGCAAGAACGTCAAAGATGTTATCCGCGCCACACACCAATTGGGTTATTGCAAGGTAATCGTATCTCCGTCCCAAAGGAACTCGGCTGTCAAACTACGGCAAATCCTAAGCAACGTCGGTCACTTCACGCAAGTCGCCGGGGACCTACGTAAGGCCCTGGATACGAGTTGGGAGCGACCAAGGGAACCGCCATGGCAGGCCAGGAGACTGGAAATATACGTCGACGCCTCAGACAAAGCTGCTGGGCTGCACGTCCGATATAGCGGCGATTGTGTGTTGGAAGAATCGCTTCCGTTAACTCATACCGTGACGAATCTCGCCCCATTCAAGCAGATACATGGTGCGTACAAGCTTTTAACAAAGTACAGAAGCCTGATACGACACATCGACGACGCATGCGAGAAAGTCATTTTAACGAACAACCTGAGATTGTATCAAGGATTGAAGCGCACGGAAGAACCACGCAACGACTTGGAGATATACGCGGCTCGAATCAGGCAACTATACAAGGCCAGATTTGAGTACATCCCTGGAGGCCAAAATCCGGCCGATCCACGGCCGCGGAGGATGTGTGACGCGCGGATTGGCATTGCTTACGGATGAGTATGTTTTGTCGTTGATGCAGAGCAAGACCCCGCCCGCTCAATGAGAACAGGACTGCTGACGACTTCGCGGACCTAGAGGACCTATTGCAATGGATGATGACGAAGAGCAGGACAAGCCAGAAACTACGTAAGAAGGGCAGCGAAAGAGCCTACCCTGCGGTAGCTGTTGGTGACAGACTGGCCTCGGGGGCAAGCGGATGGGATCAGGTTTTTTTTTGGTTGAATGCTACAGGTGTCCTTCACAAGAAAGGCCACAGGATTAATGTATGCCAGACGAAAGACTTGGAGTGTACCAACTGCCACAAGAGGGGTCACGGGACAAAGGATTGTCGAGTGCGGGTGTTTGACAGCAAGTATGGCAGCCTGGGAATCGAGATGTAGACACGGGCGCAACTACGTCTATCACGAGTACCGACCTGGCTCGTCAGTTGGGTTTAGCGAGGAGCTAAAGGGCGATGAGTTGATACTGGGGGTACCGGACATGATTGCGCTAGGCATCTTTGATGCGTGTTAGTGTCAGTTCCATGTGGAAAGCTGTTACAAGGTCGATGTGGTTTCACTCCTCTTCTCACTTGCCAACAAGCGCAAACGAGCTCTGGAGTTGCCAGAGGAACAGATAGACGACGTGTTGACCATGGGCGTAATACAACCTAGTAAGTCGTCATGGGGAGCGAGGCCCGTGTTAGTGTGCGAGAAGACTGGTGAGTGGAGAATCTGTATTGACTGCCGAACGTTGAACAGGGGAATGACCTTAAAGGCCTGTGGCTGTAGCTGTGGGAGCAACTACGGCTGGCGGCGGGTCACAAGTATTACGTGTGTCTGGACTGTAATCATGGCTTTTGGAACGTCGACAGTTTACTGCGTTTGGGTCGCATACGGGCACACTCGAATTACCGTGATTCCGTTTGGTGTCAAGAACTCACCTATCCTGTTTCACAGGTGATGGATCGCGTCTTCGAAGGCCTCATAGGCAACAATGTCAATGTGTACATTGACCATATTGTCGCGTACGCTGATGATTTGGAAACGTGTTTGGGCGTCTGGACGAGGCGTCATCTTAAGCTGAAGAAGACCTCAAGAGACCCATTCCTCAGTTCGTCAGTAGACTCACAACCGACGTCAGCGACCAGGCGATTGGCGCTGTGCTGGAGCAGAGGCAACCCGGGGATGTGTTCGTATCGAATTTGGTAGCAAAAAGCTGGACGAGTGTCAACAGTGGTGGGACACGCGAGAAACAGAGTTGTACGCCGTGATCCCTGGTGTTGAGGACGTGCGGAACAGCCAGAAGATGGAGGGTTGCTCCCTCCCAATGGGTGTTTGAAGATGAGGGCTTCGCGAAGGCGCCACGGATAAGCTGATCAGACGACAGTGAGGAAGACACTCGAGGCTACGCGGCAGTCAGCGAATTGGAGGTGACAGCTGATTGGTTTGGGGTTGTAGTCATGTGAATGGAGTGGGGGCAGTTCGCCGGTCTATGTGTACGTAGACAGATGTACGTCGGCAGACGACTGGCCAACGGTTGATGAGAGCGCCGATCGATGGCACCTGAGTAGCCGAAGGTCCCCCCGGGATCGCGGTTGAGAAGAATGCTCGCTGAAGTCACTCCAGCGGCCCGCGGTTACTGGAAGAACGAAGCGAGGGCAGGTGACTCGTCCACCTCGGGCATGCGAAGGAACCGGGAGCAGGAGACTAACCGATGCTGTCCGTCCAATCTTGAACACGACACACAAGTGACCGATGGTTCAGGAGAACGAAGCGGCCGCAGGAGGCTGGATGCGGGATGTTGTATACACGCGCTGATGACACTACAGTGGCCGGCGGCTGGCTGAAGAACTACGCCAGCCCGGAGACTGGCCATCGCTGTCGCAAGCACGCGTTGATGACCGAGACTGGCCGGTGGTTGTCGGAAGAATGAAGTGCCAACTGACGAGTGGCATATGGTTAGCGAGAGTACACGCGGACGGCACCCCGGTGGCCCACGGTTAACAGCCGGACTAGGAGGGGGCATTTGACTGGCTCATGGTTGTGAAGAGTGGGATGACGACACCCATTGATCTACGATTGGTTGAGGTACTTAGCGACCGCAGACGAGAGGCCCACGGTTGTCGCGGGCGGGTCGAAATAGTAAGTTACCGGTGTGTAGTGGGGAGAACAGTGTCCCCAAGGCGGGTGCAGGGTGAGTGTTGAATGCGTAAGATTTTTCGTGGAGAGTGGCAGAACTACTTTTGTGCTGCACCGTTTATCACCAGGACTGACCGTCAGAACCTGTTGTACTTGACCAAATCTACTAAAGGAAAGCTAGTACGTTTGCCGTTGTTTTTTCTGTAATTTGACTTTAGAATAGAGTACTTGAAGGGTACCGAGAATATGGTGGCAGACTGCTTGTTTTGAGTTAACTAACGAGAAGACATTGAAGAGGATATGTTGATAGACCGTATCCAGATGAACTTTGACTTAATAACTGCGTACTGTGCAGAGGAGGACAAGACCAGGGCGTGCCAGTCTGATTGAAAGGTTGAAGAGGTTCGTGGTAGCTACAGTGGTTACTGACAAAAGAGGGTCAACGGTAGCAGAAATTTCAGAGACTGCTGGTATAGGTGTTTTGGAGCACCGCTAGCTGTGTTGGTTGACGGAGGTACTGAGTTCACGGGAAAGTTCTTCGGCCTGGTTTAAAAATGTTGGGAGTGCAGGCAGGCTCTATGTGACGGCTCCGGACCGACCTGAGAGTAACGGTGTTAACGAGTCCAGTCACCGGGGGTTGTTGAAGGCTTTGCACGGAGCGGACGTATGGAGTGGTTCGGAGTTGCGCGAGGCTGTGAGTTTTGCTGTGATCGCACACAAGAACCTCCCGCACCCGGCAACAAGACTGGCATCAGTAATGGGGTTGATAGAGACTGACGCGAGGTACTCAAATGATCTGCCTTTGATGTGGCCGGAAGCTGTAAGAGTAGATGCACTTCTGGAGTTGCATTTCCCAACTACGCTGAAATATCTGTCAGTGGGTATGACAAGCGGAGAAGAGCTTGGTGGCAAGGAAGATAGGCGCGACATCGCGGTTGGTGGCGCGGTGCTGTTGAGCAGTCGCGAAGAGGGTCGCCGGAGACTCATAGAGGGTCGCCGGAGACTCATAGAGGGTCGCCGGAGACTCATAGAGGGTCGCCGG